GAAAGAGAAAATAAAAATGTCTCGAATTGTATATTGTAGAACTTTCGAATGTGTTTTATGAGGCTTCTTTATTCAATTTTCTAAAAAAAAAAGTAGTAGAAAAATGGTTTTTATCACAAAGAAAAAAGCAAAACACTGATTTTTTTTTTTTCTTCATAAAAATTCCTAGAAAATTTAGCTTAGGGTTTTCAGTAAAATACCTATAACTAATGAATGATTCAAGCTAATAACCCGAGCCTTGTGTAGTTTTGTAGATCTTCAATTGGCGATTCTAACGAACACATGATAATTGCAAATTCACTGAAACCACATCACGGGCACACTGATTTTGGAAAAGTTCATTTGAAAAACTTAGATGAAAAAGCTTATGATATACAGTCCGATGCGTCTTTATCTTCTCTTTTCAATGATGAAAACCGGAGCTCTCTATCTTGCTTTTAACAGAAGCTATTGAAAAAACACCCATCGGTCTTCTTTTTTGAAATGGGGATTAGTAATATGTTCAAAAAAGTTACCTTTCTCTAAATAATTCAAGCAAATCGGTTTAAATAATGTTAAATGAACTGCATTAATTTGTTTTCCGAATGAAGAATCCATTGTGATAATAGTTAAAAGCCATATTGAAGATAATTTGTGCATTTTGTTTTTTGATAAATTCGAAGATATCAAGAATTATTTGAAACATGCTACATTCTAAAATACGAAGACAATATCTTATTTTACTAGTCAATATAATATTAAGATCAATACTTGTTCTTGACTTCGTATCTTGCCAAATCATTTCGATACTTGAAATACATTCATGAACAGTATTTTGTATTAGAGATTTGTTTTTTTAAATAATATTATAAATCTTGATGTTTGAAATGAAATCGTTGATTACTAAAATACAAATTATAATATAATTATTTTACAAAACTAAATATTTTCTATTTCACGAATCTCTAACGTTTTCTTTTTTTTTCAAATAGAAAATGCTACAAATGATTCGAATTTGTCTTTCACAATTATTAAATTATAAATAGTTTTTTCTTCGATAGAACATTTTTGTTTTTCATGAAATCATTTTTACAGAAATAAACATTTTCAAACTGATAATTTTGGCGTGAATTCTTTATTATTATTCATAAATAATATATTATAAGGGTATTTTATTAAATTAACTCTGTTTCATTTTTCTACTTGATAGTTCCGCAATATCAAAACAATACTACAATTTCATCTCAAAATGCTCATGTTAACAATATGAATTCTTCTACTTTAGGTGAGTTCTTAACTGTAACATTGATATGTAACTTTTCTATTTTTTTTTTGTAGCCAATAACGTTAGAGGTTTTTCAATGTCTGTTGGTTATCCATCGATATTTGACCTTTTATCAAATAATCGTAATAACCATGGACTTCAATTGAAACGGCTTGGTCGTGCAACACGAAGAACCATGGGTACAGTTGCGGCTATTAAATATTCTAGAATAGGTAAAAAAAAAAGAAAAAGATAAAATTATGCTTTGATATTACTGTAATGCCATAATGATGAAAGTGACAGTAACGCATATCATACTACGCTTTGCTTGCAGATATTGCAGAAACGCAACAGATGTGTCGTTCTCATTTGTTTCCTATTTGTTTTTTTCCTACGGTAAAGTTATGTCATTTGGCACTTCTTATCAGTGCTATGATAAAAGACAAAAACTATTACTACTGATTCATGATATCTTCCACTAGTGAAAAACTTGAAAGTTGAAATTTGACTATTCAAATGGTGTGTTCAATATGAATTCAACTTTGATATACATGGATTGCTTCTCTTCAAATAATTTTAACTACTTTCCTAAATTACTTTCTAATTATCTTATAACATAGAAAAATTTTGTACTATATAAATTAATAATAAATATTCGTTACATAAACAGAGTTTTCTTACAGTAAAGTTTTTGATCTGTATAATTTGAGAAGATTCAATTGGAACAGTGATTTCATGATAGTGTAAGCGGTATCAATTCATAGTTGAACTGATATAGTTTTTGAGACTATGACAGTATGGAACTATTTTAGGATTTACGAAACAACAATGTAAAAATTTCTGACAGAAGAGATATCGTTTGTTTTCTTTCATATATTAGTCGGCATTCTTTATAACGAAACATGCATTTATCTATGCTATCCGGAACTTGAGAAATAGTAGAAAAGAAAAAGAAAATAAGGATAACGGGAAGAATATTATTGAGAAACAGATGTATTAATGTTATTTACAACAAATGATAAAATAGTTAATAATATATATATATATATAGTTATGAAAGGAGAAAGGTTAAAAATATTCTCTTGAAGAATTTCTTATAGCTTGTTTTCCAGGCGACCTCTGTGTGCACTTTGAGAAGAGAAAAAAATTCTGTTTATTTTTTATCACATTTTCTGTGTGAGTGATTGCTGTCAAAGGTTTTTCTGAATTTATTTTACTTAGATTGTATACTGAATGTATAGCATCTTCTATTTTGAATGTTATCTAAAGAATTTATACAAAATCTACTAAACAAATGGATTCTTAGATTCGGGTCCAAATAGGTCTCTGAATCTGGTATCTATCTGGTCGGCTCTGGCCTCAATTATGCCTTGTTATATATAGACTTTTGCAAGAAGTTTAAAAATGAAAATAGTTTTCTGATGTGAAAAATGAACTTATATTCCATAATTAGAATATATTTTCATTATTTTTAGAATCACTGTAAAAAACCACATCCTTTGATAAATGCATAAATCTATAAGTTAGTAGGTACTCATAAAGTTTTTCTTATTGTTTTTGCATCTTTTAGAATTTATCTTACAATGAATTCAGCCATTTTTATACATTTGTGTATCTAAAAAACGTGCTTAAACGTTAAAAAATTCGAAATCAAATCGAATTTACTTCACACAAATAGCAAAAACTATATATTGTTTCTTATATTTCTAAAAAAGAAAAACAATTTTCAGCCGGAAAATTGAAATTCGCCTCTACTTTTTCTCCTCAAGATGGTACTTATCATTGGACTCAAATTGTTTTAATAATTCATTTGGTGGAATTATAGAGCATTTTTTTCTTCAAAATGTTGTTCCTACAAAATCAGTTAGTCGTCAAAAAATTACTATCATAAAAAAAAGAACATTTTTTATGATGGTTCTTTTAGTATCGTGCTTCTTTCAAACTCTAGAAGCGATATTTTTGAAAGAAAAAAGGAAAAGTACAGAGTTTTGCGGGAAGAGATTTTCGTGTTTTTTTGGATTTTATGAGCTCTATTAAATCTCTGACGAAAAATTTTAGTGATCTTGAATCTATAGACAGTTGCTCTGCGTATCAATACCTATCGACCTTCAAAGTTTCATAATTTTTTTGTCGAGCTATTTCCGATAAATTCCGAAAAGATTAGTCTAGTGTTTCTAAGGGCAAATGTAGGCAGTGAAATCAAAATGTACAGAACATGTGTAACTCTGATGTCAAAAATTAGACTTCAGACATGCTGTGAGTCTAACATATTAGATAAGAATTGTATCTATATTTGTTCAAATAGTACACATTTTTCTCATTTCTTTATATTACATGAAACTTGGACTGTGTACATTTTGGTACCTTTTACGTATGAGAAGAAAATGTATATTTACACTTTGTCTATATAAAACAAAATGTGCTATACATTGTGCTTTAGATTTTCATAAGAAACACGGGCTTAGTCCCGTTAAATTTTTTTCTTACTTGTATCAGGAATACATTTTTACTCATTAATATAAAATATTCGTCATGTTTTATTTTCAATGCACATGTTTTCTTTATATATCTCACCTTTATGACCGATCGTGTAAATATCACTCGGAAGATCGGTAAAAAATGACGAAAACTTGAATAACACATGCACGCTTCAATATAAAATGTAATATGACTCATTATTTTGTTTTTTTTTTCGTTTAGATGAGTTGGTCTTTAGTAATCACGTACGTCCTGTTTGAACGGGCTCAATACCAACATAAACATATCAAATTTCATTTGTCTGATTGACAACGTCACTATCTCATTCCTTGCATAATGTACGCTCCAACCCTTTCGCTTTGCTATTTTTCGATCTGTGCTTCTAAAATAAGACATACAATAGCGTATTACAATAAATTCTAATTCTGCTTATTTTAAAAAAAAAAATTTTTATGTTATAGAAGTTTTCTCGCTATTCATTCTAAATAAATGTGTGCATATCCGCGCTCTAAATTTAAAAAAGAATCATCAATCACAATAAATTCACATGGAGAAACAACATTCAATTTTGATTACAGCATCAATATTTAATATTGACACTTCAGTCCAGTGAAGCAAAAGAATGAGTTTTTCTTATTCCATTATATTCAAAAAACTTTGAATCAAACAGGAATCTTTTGCTTCCCGTTATAGTCACGTCATTACTGATATTTTCTAACTCTAGCTTGATTTTCAGACTGCAAATGGTCTTTGATGAAATATTGCGCATTTCCTTAATTGTAATAATCAATTTATATTTAATTAGCGGAACACAAATAGTCTGTCGCCATTCCTCTCGGGTGACAAGAAAACAACAAGATAGAAAAATGCAGTTTTATTGATTCTATGACTTTTCTCAGACAAGTTTCGAATAAACCAATGCTGTCTATCAAGAAAATCATAAACGAACATCGATTGAGATAGATGTGTGAATGTGTGTGTTGATGTAGGATGGATACAAATTTGATAGAAAAATATATTAAACGGATATACACAGCTCATATGTTTTGCGGAAGTGTCCCACGGGGTAGTTTCGATGCAGAAATGTCATATGTGTAATCGTCGGTGAATCATTATTGTTCTCTCACTCATGATTCGTTCTATCTGCCGATAAGTCGATTTACGTCTTTTTCTTTTCCTTCGTATATACGTACACCTTAATCACGCACTCAGTGCGTGATCGAGAAAATTAATTAATTACATTGATTTTCTCTCTATACTGAATTACAAGCCATTGACAATGACTTCTCATTCAGTTTCATATCTGAACAATAATGATGAACATCGTTTACAAGCATTAAATGATCATGTTATAGTGTCCGAATTAGATAATAATATCTTATCTTCTAACTCAAATAATATTTCGGATTCTCATTTGGATCTTAATCTTAATGAACATGTTAATTTGAATAAAAAAAATGATGAAAATCATGCTATTACACCAAGATCGTCGTCAACATCAAATTTACATCTCGTTAATTCATCGTTATCTTCTGTTCGTCGTTCACTCTCAGCCAACGAATCAGAGGATGGTTTTCGTATTGTGAAGAACAAGAAAAAACACAAACAAATTGCACGTGATGATCCTCAAGCATTAAATAATGGTGAAGAATCTCGTGTTAATCCAATTGTACCTAATCTTGATGATACAGAACTTGATCAAAATCAAATACATACTGTTAATGATAATCAACATCAGTTATCTTCTTATAATTTCGTTATTACTAATGAATCAACACGTTTTGCTCAAACAAGGTATCCGTTTCCACCATTTGTTTTACGTTTTGGTGCAGGAAAGGTTACAAGTAATCAAGTTAAAGAAAATTTAATCGATCATTGTAAAAAAATTCATCAATTTGATGTTTAAGTGATTAATTGTCGTTTATCTTCTAATGTTCTATCTGATAATGAATATGATATTCTTATATATGTAAAAGATGCTTTTTCTTTTTCGTTTTTATTAGAACAAGCTCATTGGCCAAAAGTTATAGGTGGTAAAAGTTATTTTTTTCCTTCAGCACCAGCTATTCCACCACAACTCTGTTTACTTATTAAAAATGTTGATTTACGTATTGATTTTGATGAATTCTGTTTTGATATTAAATCTAACTATCCTCAAGTTAAAAATATAATTAGAATGAAAAACAAGTTTCAAAATGAGATCAAGATGGTTAAAATTGAATTAACTTCTTCTTCTACTAGAGATGAATTATTAAATAAAAAGAGAATTACTGTTAATTATATCATTTATGATATTATTGTATATTTAGCTCCTGCTAATGTGCTTATATGTTCTAAGTGCATGGCATTGGGGCATTTTAAAAAACAATGCTCCCAGATTAAAGAAACATGTCGTACATGTGGTGAACAAGTTAATGATTTGAAAAATCATAATTGTTCTAAAATTGAAAAATGTATCTACTGTGGACAAAATCATAAATCTAGTTCTCTCAAGTGTCCGGTGGTCAAATCTTTTCGTACTGAATTAACTCGTAAAATTCTTCAACTTAATAATCATTCATCACCTGATATGAACTCGAGTAAAAATATTATTTTAAATTCAACTAATTTTTCACCTCCTCCACCACCTAAATCTTCAACTTCATCAATTAACCCTATGATGGATAAGCTGGATGAATTAATAAATAAATTATCAGAAGTGAAGAATCATCTTGCTAATTTGGAAGCTAAACATGATCAATTTGAACAATTCATATTAGAAAAAAATCGTAATGATGAAATTGTTACTAAAAAAATTAATGATATATCTAATTACCATATGGATTTAAAGAAAAATGTTGTTCAACATAGTTTATATATTGATAGACATGAAAATTTATTTTGTAAATTGTTAATTCCTATGTTTGAAGATTTATTTTCATTTATTGCAGCACAAAATTGTGACAAGAGGGGTAATCCACTTGATGTGGATCTTAAATGTAAACTTAATCGCTATTTGGTTCAAATGAAAAAAGCAATTGAAGATAAACAATTTACAAGCTAATGACTCTGTCGCCTCTTGCTCAACCTTGTTTTTCTTGTTTTTCTTCTTCGAAACTATATAAGCGTAGTGATTTGTTAGTTAAAGCTAAAGCTTCATTATCTTCATTTGACTTTAATCTTTTCTTAGAGATTCTGAGTGAGTGGGAAGGTAGTCTATTTCTTGATTCTTGTTTTTCTATGTGGCAGAAGTATGTTCCTTTCGATGAAAATTCTTTTCATTCTTCACTTCATGTTCTTTCATTCAATGTTCGGGGGCTTGAGTTAAGATGGCAAGAGGTCCTTCTTCTTACATCTTCTTTCAATTTCGATATACTTATTCTTCTCGAAACTGGTAAAATGGAACTGTCTTTCTTTGAGAAAATCTTCAATAACTTTAGAATTTTTTACCAAAAGGGAGAGAATAAAAATGGTGGAGTTTTGCTCCTGGTGAAATTAGTTATTCAAGTAATGCATGTAGAATGTAAATTACCTAATGTTTGTGTTTCAGATATTATAGGTGAAGAAATCTTACGTGTTGTTGGAATATATGCACCTGAGAGTAAATCCTGGATATGGAAGGATCTGTCCCCTTTTTTATCTAATAAATGCGTTCTGTTCGGAGATTTTAATGTTGATATAGATCAAGATGGTAAAAAAGCAGAGATCTTTCTTGCGTGGGCAGATACTAATTTCCTTGCTCCATTTACACCTGAATTGTCTACTTCTTTGCGTTCGAATAGAATAATTGATTATGCTTTAGCTGCTGGTTTAAGTATCGATATTCAGAATTATAGTGGTAATACAACCAGTGACCATACACCCCTCATATCTGTTATTCCAACGAAGTTAAAAAATATAAAAGTAGGAAAAATGTTCATTGGACAGTTTTCTCTCTCTTCACAGAATATACTTTTTCCTTCTGGGAAGAAATGTGGGACCGTGATAATATTGATGTTGTTTACAATGATTATAGCAGATTCCTGTTTCTTTTATCTGTTCGATGTACAATTGTTTTTCCTTTAGAAAAATATCGTCCTTCTATTCCTGTAGAAATTAGATCGTTTTTGTCCTATATACGTGCTCTTTCTTTTCGTCAAAAGAGAACAAAAAACGTCGAACTAAAGAATATGTTATATTCCTTGAGGAGAGTAGCCAAAAGTGAACTTAAGAGTTTTTTTTCTTCTCAACTTTCTTCAACACTTAATCTTCGTAATACTTCTTCACCTGCAGCTGTTTTGTTTTGGTCAAAATGTAAAAAATATCTTAAACCCTCATCCTCTACCGTACATGCTTTTATTGCACCATCAGGACATATTATTAAAGATACTAAAGAAATGTGCGAAGTTGCTGCTGATTTTTATGAAAATTTTTTTAAACAATCTAATATAGTGAAACCTCATCCATACACTGATTTTCCACCTATTGAATACGACAATGTCGATGAACCGATTCCTGAAGTAACATTAGATGAATTAATTTTCACAGTGCAGGCAAAACGTAAAAAGAAATCTCTTGATGCTCATGGCATATCGAACTTCATGTTTAATTTTCTGGATCAATGTCATTGGTCTTTATTTCTTAAACTATTTAATCACTCTTTCGAAAAGGCTATTTTGCCTGAGGCCTGGAAAGATACCAGAATGGTTTTATTAGCTAAAAAGAGTCTATCTGCTCTCCTTCCTTAACTCGTTCTATTTCTCTTATTGACTCTTTTCTTAAAGTTGGCGAAAGGTTATTTCTTTCTAGATTTCGTGATGTTTTATCTAGAAGAGATTTATTACCTGATAATCAGTCCGGTTTCAGAGATGGTTTTCGTCTCCAAACCCGTTTATTATTATTTCTGGAGGACATATATAGTCTTATGGCAAATAGTGCCCCTATATGTACCATCTTTATTGATTTTCGTTCTGCCTTTGATCAATTATGGCATGAGGGCTGCGTTGGCAAGCTAATGAGATTAGGTATTCCTCCGTCTTATTTAAGATGGATAGAAGCTTGGCTTCTTGATAGAAGTTGCTTTATTGAGATAAATAGTGTTAAGTCCAGATGTTTTTCAATTGGAAAAGGAGGTCCTCAGGGTAGTGTGTTAACTCCCACTTTATTCATTAATTATCATTGTGATATGGGACAATTTCTTTCTCAATGTACTAGTCATTTTTTTGCTGACGACGTCGCAGCTATACTTGCAGGTCATTTAGGAGTACGATACACAAATCAATGTATTGATCTTGAAAAGCGTATTAAATCTTTTCTTGATTCACTCGAATATTATTCTTGTTTAGCTGATCAGCCCTTAAATAGGACTAAAACCGAAGCTATGTTTAGTGCTCGTGCAATAGGATCCCCAAGCTTCAACATTACATTTGATAATGGTGATGATAAATGTATTAATTGGAAACAGGAGTACAAATATCTTGGCTACATCATCTCATCTAGACTTGGATGGGGAAAGTTACTAAAGGATACAGAATGTAAAGTTCGGAAGAGAATAGCACTTATTAAATCGTTTAAATTGTTTGGTTGTTCGTCTCCTAGTCTTCGTAAAGCTCTGTTCTATTCACATGTCCTTCCATTATTCACCTGGTTATATCCTGTATATCCGCTATTCACTCGAAAGCAACAGGAGGATCTCTCTAGGTTTTATTACTCCTCCCTTCGTCGTACTCTATGTTGCCTCGAATGGAATGAAAATTTTTTTTCATATATTCTTGATGAAATATCTTTGGAAGATCGTTGTTCCATATACTGGAATAGGTATCTTAGAGCTTTATCTAATTCGATTGATGGTAATCTAATTTTCGAAAAAGCTAACCTTGCTGAATTTAGGAAAAGTTGGTTGGATAAGGAGTTCCCCATCATGCGGTTGAGAAGGTCTGAAAGATTCGTCCCTTATAAATCAATTTTAGAAAAAGTTTTAACTTGGCTTTCGTCGGTCCCTTCAAACTCTTCTATACCACACTATGAAATGTCTGAAATAGAGCTACTTCAACTCTTTCCTGATTCTTTTTGTTAAAGCTGTGATCTATGTCTTTTTTCTGTCCGTCTTAACTTTTGTTTAAATGTTGTTCATGTGCGGTCTGTTATACATGTGTGTCCGTTCCTTTTTTTTTTCTTTTGTTTATTTTCTACTCTGTACTCTGTATTCATCCTCTTTCCTCTGCATTTTTACATGTAGAATCTTTCGTTCTTTTTGCATCTTCTGTGTACCTTTTATTTCACTTTTTTCTCTATCTTCTCATTTCTGGTACTGTTAGGATCTTAGGATCGCAGTTATTGCATAATAATAAAAAAAAATCATTATTGTTCTCTTCCGATTCGTATTGAATATATTACATACAAATGAAAGTTGAATTTCAGTGTTCAAAGTACAAAAATGCTGCTATTGAAGAGTGAAATTGACCCTTGCAAAGAAATTCTGACCTTTTTTTTGATGCTACGTATGACTAAAGGTGTAGGCGTATATATATCTAGAGGTATGTGTAGATGAGCGTGGTCATGTTTTTACGAATGCTCAATTAGGTTGTTGTTGAACTAATACAAAAGACTCGCACTGACATTGACATCATTATCCACAAATTCACGAAGAATTTTCGTAAGAAGAAGCATTGTAGTACCTAGTACAGCATGTATAGAAGTACATGGGTGGAGATAAAATCTGATTGGATTACTCCATAGTTACTCTCAGAATTCGTAAATATCGGTGTGCACATTCATAAAGGAATAGAAGACCCGACTTCATGCCGACTTTTCCAAATCGCCATCACTCTATATACTAAAGCGTATAGTACCTTACAAGCACACCCACATACTCTTGCTGACATACCTACAAGCAAACCGAGATATATTTCACCCAGAATCATGCATCTGTACACGAATACTCACATCGATGCACTCATACTTACATTACACACCATAACAAAGAAAAAAACAGTTGAAAAGTCTAATTGAGTTGCTTGGAAGAAAAAATTTACTTTCTTCTTTCTTTTTTTTTCTTCAAATTGGTCTTTACTCACACATTCACAATTTTTCAACTGATTTCTTATAACATGTAATTTTTTAATTTAGAAAGAAAAATAACAATCTATGAAAACAAATGAGATTTTTATTTTTGATAGAATATTTTTCCTAAGTATATTCATCGTTGTTGTTCATTTTTATACATATATGCCGTATATATATATATGTATGTATGTGGTCCCCAAATCTGAGAACCAATTCGCTTTCAAAATAGGTACCAAAATTTTCGATTTTTGGATTAGATGCTCTCAAAATTCGACTAAGGAAGAAGTTTACGTTAAAACTTCAACTAGAGGGTGTGTGGGTGTCAGTATATAGGTTTTTCTACATCCACCCATATCCTCTCATTGTCAATGATAGAGAAATGAACGTGTTGTTTGAGCACTTGTGATATTTTTTAAGTTACTTTTCAACTAATATATCTGATAGGCTTATGACAAAATCATTAGAGATTCAGTTCAAGTTTGTTCTTCATTTGTATCAACTTCTTTTTCTTTTGAGATGTTGTCAAAAGAAGTTTATGTGTTTAAGCTATTATTAGTTTCTAAACGCCACCAATTACTACACATCATACAGCAATAAATAGTGCTGTTTATTCTTTCTATTAACTCAATTTCTTTGTAAAAATGAGAATTTTTTTCTTGTTTATAACCAGTTGTCTTGTGGTCTTTACCTTGACTGTTTTGCTGTTGCTATGTGCAATCCTTCTAAGTGGGGTATGTAATTCAAAAGAATCGAGAAAGAAAAACGAAAAAGAAAGAGACAAAAACAAGCAAAAAAAAGAGTGTATAATGTGGGCATAATGCAAAGATAACAAACGAATCGTTCGACAAACAAGAAACCTATCTTACATACACAAAACTCAACGAAATTCGAAACTACCATTGGTGAAATTCCTTCGTTAAAATTGATTTTGATAAGTAAATTATTAGATCAATTTGCAAAACTAGAAAGAGTATTTTAAACGTCATAAACAAAATTAATATATAACTGGAATACTGATTAGTAAAGATTACGACGAACATCATCAAACCGATACCTAAAACCGAGTTTCCTTGATTCAATTAATTGATAACTATTTGTTGAACACGAGTCTAGTGAATTTACCTTGTTGCAACCATTATAAATAAGTTGAATTTTTTTTTATGAATTTCCATCTTATATATGTTGTCTTTAAACTATATAATTCTTTTGATTCCTTTTTTTGCACTACTCGATTAATTATCTGGCATAATTTCAGAGACAATAATCGAGTAATTAGGGTACTATCTTATTTTCTTACATAATTGCATCAAGATGCGGCAAACATATGAACGACACAACTATACCTCACCATGAGAGAATAAGGATTCTGGTCACATAATATAAAGTGAAAACTACGGCATTATCCTTCTAATCAAATAGCCATAAGCGAAGGTGATGACAAATAACTTCCTATAAGAAAATCACGTCATCAGAGTGAAGGCAAAAAGCTTTAGACTTTACAGCAGTTTATCTGAATGAGAATACAAATCTTAGGACGTGTGTGCTGGTGTTGCTCATTGCCAAAAATATATTCTCATCTAGACCGACACTCGATCTGATAACGGCTTAACAACTTTTGGGACCACATCATTTCCTTTGAATCTCCGTGAGAAGTTTTGAAATAAGCACCGAAAAAAAAACGTATTTGAGAAGACTTTGAAAACAGAAAAGAAATTGAAACTTCCTTGAGGCATCGTAAAACCTGTGAAACCTTCTTAAGGTTTTGTAAAGTTTTAATGTGGGTGTGGTTATTCTTTTGGTACACACTCACATCCATCCACACTTCACGCTTAGCTAATGTAGATTGATTCATTCTTTCTCGTTTATTTTTCATACTATTGTAGATATTATTCATTCTTTTGCACACTCTAAAAAATGTCCAAGATCATCACTGTATCCTTAGAAGATGAGGAACACGTTGTAACTGTTGATCCAGGTGAAGATATTGTCGATATGCTAACAAATATGCTGGGTAATGTTCATAATTACACTTTTACTGTAAATGGTAAAAAGATTACGTCTGTTAACGATCTTTCAAAAGAACTTCATCATAATACAAAAGTCGAGGTTAAGCCCAACTTATCACGTGCTGCTTTCGCAACCTTAGGTCCGCGCGGTTTTCCCTTGGAAATCATCAGTCGAAAAAATCCTACTCGACCTACTATCAAAATTGAAACTGTTCATATCTCATGCTCTTCGGATTCATATGATGAAAATGAAAATATGGCAGGTCTTATTGTTTACTCTTTTGACAACAAACAGATGTTTGAACTAAATGGACATCGATGTCGTACTGGATATATTCTGATTAAAGCGACAAAAAATATTGAACATGTAATAAGCAATCAAGGAATAGTACACGGAAGTTTATTTAAATGGTTTTACGGAATTGAACCAGATGACCGATTTGTTGGTGCAGGATTTTCATTGCATGACAAGAATTTTAAGTTTAATTCTGGAGTATTCAATGCTCGAAATGATGACTATCACGATGATAAAAAATCGATGAGTGAAAGTGAAATTTATTTGATCAAATATGCAATGAATGAACTATTCAAAAATAATGCATGGAAAATGAATCCAACTTTGTCAATGTTAAATATTGGCCGAAGTCTTTATAATCCTGGTGATTGTTTGCCTATTCAAAATTATCCAAAATCAATGATAAACAGTGATACTCATTAAAAATTACTTGACATGTTTTCGGAATTCATTAATACAGTATTTTAATTCTAACTGATATTAATTTCAACTATATGGGCTTATAAATTTAATCGAGATATATTTCGCTCTTCTGTGTTTAAATTCTATGTTGAGTATATTATATTTTTATACCTGAGCGTTTTTTTTTAAGATTAAATAATCCTGCGTATTTATGACGCTGACAGAATGATGTCAAAACCATGTTTTTCTTTTAGACAGACGAACACAGTCAGAAATTTCTCTTTTATTTTCCGATAATAACGATAAGTAAAACATCGAAATTTTATGATCGAATTTCCACCAAGTTATATTGTAAGATATGGATATTCCTTTTCATGTTTCAAGCTCGTTTTTTTTTTTATTTCACATGGTTGATTATTAATTCTAACTTCTATGATATATTAACCTATCAATTATCTATATTTTCGAGGGTGTGAGTGTGGATTCTCATGCCTATACAAAATCACCTTGACCCATGAACTTTCTTCAATGAAATGGATAGTATAGTGCAAGTAGTCATCATGTATGAACTAACTGGATAGTTAATCTGTTTTTCACATTATAGTTACTTTAGTATATATTATATTTGTCAAAAAAATATATACTCTAAAAAGTAGGCTTCAAAAATAAATCCATGATGAGCTACAATACTGAAGAATTAGTTTTTTTTTTTTGATAAAATAACTTGATATCAATAGAAATTGTATGATTTGCGACAACAAAACAAGTAAAAATTCAAAAAAAGAAAATCTAGGATGATCGTTTACAATTACTGATTGCCACTCTGACTCAAGGTGAGAGTGATGACTCAAAGATTGAACGAAGAAGGTGAAATAGAGGATGAAGAGAATTCTTTAAGCATTCATCCCACCATTGATCAAGTATGTCGAATATATGAGTTGTTCTCTCTACTTGAACGCAAATGAAAATGATTAATACGATGCAAACGAATGTTATTATTCAATTGTTCATCATATAGATGAACCAACAGTAGACAAGACAAAAGTATTTATTGTTCTTGTTAATGAAATAGACCTTGGAAGAACTATTCAAATAATTGTTACAATTGTTCGCTTCGAAAGAATCGATATTTGTTTGGAGTTTCAAAATAGTTTTTTTTTTGTCTTTAATCTGACTGTGCTATATTAAGCATAGAAAACATCAGAAAAGTAAGCCACATGTATCAGATATCAATTTTATGAAATTGGTCAAGTTCAAAATCGATTAATGATTGTTCAATCAATTGTTATTGGTGGTCGATCACGATAAGTCAAAAAAAAATTATGGCATATAAACCAATTTGTATGCAAAGATTAGCATTTCGATTTAGTCCAGAAGGATAAAGACAAGAAGCAATGTTACGATCAATGGCTTGTATTATTTCTTAAAAATGAATTTATATACAACTTAAATATTTTGTTTGTAATTTATCATTCATTTTATGCTCTTGAAATAAAATCAATAAAAAAAGAAACCTTTCTTTATAGTTATTAGTAGATTATGGAAGATAAGTATAAGTCTGTATTCCAATAGGTAATTATATGGGTGATCAATAAAACTAAGATAACTTTTTATAAGAACCTGCTTAGAGATATATTACGATTTATAGCAAATCGTAGTAGAAAATATTTAAATCCTGATCTAAAGTATTCTATGTTAGATTAATATTTGATGTTCATTGCGTATTAACAATGAAAATTTTCAATCTTGTATTGATTAGACGTTTGATTATTTTTCTTAGAATGAAATATCCATCAAGTAAAATTTCAAACATGAGATATAATATTTCATCAGAATAAACAATATTAATCAGTAAAATTAATTCAAGATATTTGAAACTTGATCGTCATAGATAAAAGAAAACTCATACTCTTCAACAGATCATTATACTCCATACATAGACATATAGAGAGAACTTGATATTATACAATGAAATGTTCATTCAATGTGTAAACATTGTTTTTTTTTTTTTGTACAAAGTAACTATCGCAAAAAAAATAAAACAAAAACTCTTTTTTTTTTGGTTTATACGAAACAAAAACAAACATTAAAGCTTATTTATATATATACAAAGAATCGGATTACAAAAAAAGAACTTGACTTATTGTTCTTTTCCTTTTCACAGACGTTATATGTAAAAAAAAAAATGAAAAAATAAATTAAAATCAATCATAAAACTATATTATTGTAATTGTCGTGCATATTCACTTAATGCTTGATGAACAAATTGATATTGATCATTAGTTTGAATCATTCCACCACGATCTCGTCGTAAATTACAAAGTATACGAAGTACATCAACAGCATATTCTTTATTTAATTGTTTTATACCATTACTTAATGCAATAAAACAACCAGTACGACCAATACCAGCACTAAAATTATAGAAAAAAATTTCTTTTTTATCATATCTTAAATTTAATTATCTACTATTGAATGAAAATTTTTCAAGAAATATTCATATCTATAACCATTTGACATTATTAACGAATTATTACTATTCGAAACAATATCTTTACATAAGGTCATCATATAACTAGAGATTAGTTTTTTTTTTCTTATGAAAAAAAATTATTTTCCAATAATACAAGTATTCGTCACGTCTATTGAAGACCTACTTTTACACAAAGCTACAAGGTAGAGAGTGCAGTGGAAAAGGTTACTGTAACATATTATTAATAGAATCATACAATGTACTATAGGCATTCTATTTCTATCTAATTATATTATTGAATCGATTTGTAATTTATAAATAAAAATGATTCAAATACCTGCAATGAACAACAACAGGACCAGATCGTTTATTTATTTTAGATAAATCAATTCGACTTTTTTCAACATTATGAATAAGTTCAATTAATGGTTGTATAACATTCGGACATGAATGATCAGGCCATGCTAAATAATTAATTTTTTTGTTTTCAAAATACAAATTTTCACTTTTTTTTTTTTTAAATTCTTTACCTGTATACCAATAATGATCAACTTCACGTTGTTCATTTTCATACTAGAAAAAAAGAAAAATTTTATCAAATCAATAACGAATTATTTTTACTTTTATAATTAATCTTCGTATTTCATAATCATTTTGATAATTTATTGATTTAACTTCAACATGAAATGGACCATATTGATTTGTTTGAATATCTGGAATATATCGTTCACATTTTGACTAATAAAAAAAACAAAAAATAATTTTTCTTTATAAACAAGAATTTTTTTTGTTACTTTATTTTTTTCAAATAAACGAGTAATCATTACAATTACAGGTGTATATTCTTGCCATATCATCCGATAAAAATCAATAATTGTATTTGAAAGTGGACCTTGCGTAGCTATATATGCATGAGATTCATTTGGCCAACCATAAATATAATTTGCATTGATATAAGATGAAAGAGGATCATCGGATAATTCAGATAATTTTACACGTGAATGTTCATCTAAGAAAAAATAAAATTTTTATTTCAATGAAAAAAAGAAGAAAAAAAATTCATTAAATTTTATACTTGCAATTATTGTACAATAACGATTTTTTGTTCCAGTACCACAAATACGAAGTTTTTCAAGATGATTTGTTGGTGTTGACTAAATGAAATAAACTAAATAATAATATTTATTTATTTTATTTAATATACCCAAAATTCTTGATAAAGTAAACGTGTATCTTGTGCATGTTGATGAAGTTCATCAATAGTTAATTTTCGTGTTGCTGTTTGTAAATATTCATCAGATGAACTAAAAAATTAATTTTAATATATTTTTTTCTAATATTAATTATTTACTTACCAATCAGTTGGTGAACTATTATGAAGACGATGTTTTGAATTTATTGATATTGTTAATGCATTATTATTGCCTCTTCTTAAAAACAAAAAAATATTTCTTTTAATTATACAGAATTCTATTTCTTATGTTAATATATATATATATATGTATATATATAGACTTGAAAAATGTTAATGATTGTTATTTTATGTATGTAAATAAAATCTCTAGATAGTATAAATAATCAAATTACCAACCTTCGTTTTAATAAGCGAGATGCTGGTAAACTCCAATATGAGTAACAAACAGTTGGAGACTCAACTTCCATCGGATTTATGTCTATTGAAATATGATATAATATTTTTATAAAGTATCTAATTTATATAACATTACATTAATAGATTGATCCTATGTTAATTACTCATATATATATGAGAGGTAAAACCTAAATAATTTCTCTGTATGATAATCGACATACACCCCCGTCGTTAATGCAAATACAAAGGAGTATTGTTATCGTATGAGTAATCAAAGTTGAGCGAAAAAGGATATAACCTTAGGCGTTATTATTTTAGTTAAATATTTTTGTTCTAACGTTTTTTTTTGTATTGATCACTCGACCGTAATATTATTACATAGGTGATAGAAAAAAAAAATATCTTATCATTAGATAATGTCTTCCGTTTCTTTCTTTTTTCTTTTTGTTTTTTAGGCTATGTTTTTTATTTACTTATGCCTACGAATAAAAACGCCTACATAGAAGCATATTTTATTGATACAGATTTTCAAACTTTTTATACATTGAATAAATTTTTATTTTAATCAACAATATTAAAAAGATAAATAAATTACCTTTGTAAAAGATTTTTTTTACGAATTTTTTTTGTTGCTGTTGTTGATACATATGAATTTTCATTAATATCTGCTGGATTAAATTGAACAAGTTTAGGTACAATAGGATACAATACTATTTCTTTTGGTCTTAATATTTCATTATTCACCAATGATAATGGAGTTGATTCCGATGGTTCACAATGAGTTTTTAATAATCGTCGTTGTCTTGAACGCCACAACAACTGATATAAATGAAGAATTTTGCTTTTTGGTCGAACAAAAGAAATATTTAATTTATTTACCACGGCTAAAAATGTTACAATTGCAGATAATAGAATTGCACCAATTGTTAAAACTATAAAACTTTGTGTCCATAATAAAGCCGAATCAGTATTATGTTTAATATTTAACTGAAGAGAAAAATTCATAATAATTGTTCTATCAATATCAAGGCGTTACATATCGTTTATAACAATATTCTTTAATTATAATACTCAAAAAGAAACTCAAATATATAGAAAAAAAAAAGAAAATCGATAAATATAATTTTCTTATGTTAATTATGTCAACACATTTATACTATATCATGAAATAAATGTTAACACATCCGTTTGACCTCTAACTATGTTCTTTCAATGGTTATTATTCTAGATTTTAATTTCCTTTATAACTACTATCAGAAAAATAAGATTATCAAGAGCAAACAAATTAAAAAAACACACACATACGTATAAGAATTGAAAATGAATTCAATAGTTAATTAAAATAAGAATGACTAATCATTGACTCTATAAATATATCAAACAAAAGGACAATAATAGGTTACCTTTGGTTGTTGTTCTTCCCACTCAAATAAACGTTTTTCTATTGATAATTTTGCTGTACGCATAATTATTTCATATTCACCTTTATAAATAATTCAAATGTAACGATGTTTTACAAAAACAACATATTATATCTAATAAGAAAAAGAAATTTATACCTAATTTTTCTATTAAAAAACAAAAAAAAAACTCTAAAGAATTAGTTTTAATCTTACACATTGTTTTCTTTTTTGTTTTTGTAAATGTCTTTTGATTTGATTGGTCTTTTTTATCTTTCTTTTAATAGATCTGAAGCAAACTAAACACGCATAAGTAGAAGACAAAAAAAAAAAATAATAAGCTTGTTTTTTGTTTTTTTTTTTTTGTTGTTGTTGTGAAACACGACTAGATAGAATTTAGAAAAGGATTTGACAAACAACGTGAAACAATTATAGAGTGAAATAAAAAATATACAACTGGAATGATAGCGAATAAAAACAAGAAAAATTTTCATTATGAAGATGATGTTTCTTGATATGAATATGTAGTTTTTATTTCCGATGTAATAGAAGGGGAATTTGATTGAACAACTGAAGATTCAATAGTAGTAGACTAAAAATAAAAAATAAAAAATAATAATTTAGGTACGACTAGTCATTTTTATTTACAAACTCTTTCTCTCTCTACAGAAGTTATTTTATAGTACAAAAAATTTATTATTCAAGAAAATAATAATAGAAAAAAAAAAAACTCAAGTTTATATTCCGGATATAAAAAATTTATACTTCCGTATGTCTTTTTTTTTGAATAGAAATTTGAAGAATTCAACTTATCAAAAAAAATATTCTCTCTCAATCATGATTAATGAGACTTTAAGAACTTTAAAATGTCTTATCGATTCTATAAATCTTAACTAGATATTATTTAGTAATAAGAAAAAAATATTTCAAGCTTATTTAATTGATGCATACTATATGAATTTCATTCAACTAGATAATATAATTAAATCTACTTCAATGAACATTTACAAAACAACGTAGAATAAGTAAAGAAGTTAATTTATATACTCTCATAAAGTTAATATGTTGTTTTTTTGTACTAACATACTTATAATCATATGCTTGAGTAGAAATAGAACAATTATGTTTAACTAATATAACATGCAATAGTCATATAACTCTACATCGAGTCATAGACAACTCAAAAAGATTAAATATTAAGGTAAGATGATATTGAAATTTATGACAAACGATATGTAGCATAGATAGATTCTATATCAATATAGAGACATAATGAAAAGTTTAACATTTCTTTGTCGGAATAGTGAAGTTTTAACAAATAATTGTTTGACATAAAAATCGAGTTTTATTTTATCTATGTGTAAAATTTTCTATTAAAACTCTATTACTTAAGGTTATTCAAAAGTGGCCGTAGTACTCTTTATTATATGTGAAGGTTATAGTAACATCTTTATGTGAAAGAGAAGACAAAAATGCCTGGTTTCTAATATATATAGGTTAAAGTTTATTTAATCAATTTTCTAAGTGTGAAAGAAAATATTTTTTTTTTATCAAACAAACTTGTTCACCTGAACTACCTAGAACTTCTGAATGATGAATTCTAAATATATTGAAAATTGTACAATTTTATTAAATCTTTATTTTCTTCTTTACGAATTCGAATAATTCCTTCGTACGTTTCTATATCTATGATTAAGTTATTATCATAAGATGAAGAAAAACAAAAATTAATACCTCTGGTAAAGTTGTTGTTATTGATTTATGTTTATGCATATTTTCATGTACAGCAAGAATTTCTTTTAAACCTCGATTTTCAAGTAAAAGTGCATTTATTCGTTCTTCTTGTGCTGCATTATTTGTATCATCAATATCAATTGCACGTTGCATAATTAATGCCATTTCTTGAATTTTTGATGTTTTTTCTTGAACTTCCTAAATTAAAATAAGAATATACTAGAAGAGAGAGAGAAACAGTTAAGATAAGAAAATCAATTTCAATTTCAATTACATTAATTATTTATAAGATATAGAAATAAAGAAAAAAAAAAAATAATTTTTTTGATTATATCAATTTTATCTCAAGGCTAAACATAATCATTCATGCAATCTAATAATATCTTAATATAAGCAAAAAGAAAATTCGTATTCAATTCTTTCTTTTTTTTTTTTATAAGTACTACCTATATATAATTTATACTAATTATAATCTATATAATTTTAAATTTAATATTTTAATTATTTACTTGTGCTAATCCAGCATTAAATAATTGAACAGCTATTTTTTCTTTTTCTTCCATTAATTTTAATTGTTGTATATGTTGTCGATATTTATACATTATTTTTTCTAATACACTTCGATGTTCAGTTACTAATTGTTTAAGTTCTTCATTCTCTTTTTGTAATTGTCTAATTAAATAAATATATATATATATAAATTATACATACCAAAAAAAAACTTACTTAATTAGACGATTTTCTTTTTGAATATTATAAAGTATATCTGTTTTTGGACGATGTAAACTAATATCATTCAATTCAGCAAGATCATCACCATACTTAACAAATAAAATTTAGTTTTTTTTATGAAAAAATCTTTTTAGTCATACCTGTTTCATACTAAGAATTCTTTCTTGAACATATTGTGCTTGATTTACAGCTGTATCAGCTGTGGCATCATCACGACGTAAACGAGAAACAAGTTCACGTGCATTTGTTAAAATTGTATCAAGTGATAAATTCATAATATGTATAATAAAGAATGAAAATAAAATTGATGTGTGAAAAAAAAAACAATTTTGTTTGTTGTAGAAAAAAAAAAAAAAGAAAATCAATAATTCAACCAATCGGATGATTTTTGTGGTTAAATTTAATATCCAATTGTCTTACCTTGAAGATCTTTTATGTTTTACAAACTTTTATATCATATATTCAATATTATTAATGATCAAGAAGAAAAATATTGATATTTTTATTGTTCTAATGTGTTATCTAGATGTCGCTAATAATATATACAAGATTTTAGCATTTTTACATCTGGTTTCTTATCTAAAAGCGTTGTCAAACGATTTCCGTTGTCTCGATAGATATTGCCAGGAGATTTTAAATTATTAAAATATTGTAAATCATTGATATCGACTTATGTTTCTGTAACCAATAGTTTGCTAAATTAGTTTAAGATGATTTTATTGACTTATACTATATTCAAATTCAACTGTATCGAATAGAGTTTACATGTCAACACAGAAGGACGATCTTTAAAAAGATTGATCTCTTCTATTGAAAACATATCTTTCGATTTTTACCAAGAAATTAATGAGCTAAAATTATATATGTTGTCTCATCTTCTATTAATATTTATTAGTAGTAGTGTAACATACCTTCAATCGTCGAATATTTGTATTTTGTTTTTTTTCAAAACAGAACTTAAATACTCATTTTATATCCTATTAGAAGAAAGATATTTTCTTTTTGCAAACAAAAATCACAACATACTCCTAATACTAACTGCTGCAAGCCATTACTGAATAATATCATTCATAGATTCATCTGAATGATCACAGAAATTATCATTCTATTATCCGATGATTGATAGATATTGTTTATATTTAGAAGAATTTCCGTCAAATCATAGCAATTTTCTCATTTAGAGGCGAAAAAAACAAACAACTAATGACTCGTTTTGACCTTTCACATTCTTTTTTTTTTTGCGTCATCTAACAAGATGAATAGCTAAAAAATGTACTTTTACAAAAATTATTATTTACCGAAAATACAATAAAAGAAACCTGTCGAAAAAATGAGTTGAATTATGATAAGACAACATACACATCTATCATAATAAAATATTTTCATACAAAAATTCGACAGATGATTTTGTCATATATCAAACAATACCCTATAAAAAATAATGTATTTTGATCAATGATATCCAGGTTAAACTTTTGTTTTTTTTATATGATTATTATGTCCAGGTCTCGAGAGATATGTCCATATCACATGATTTTCTTTTCATAGATTTGTTTTTTTTTGCTGAAGATGATATTCGAAAACTCGATACTCTCAGTTTTAAGAACTTTTTTGTTTTGTTTTGTCTGAGATCTAGACAAGAAAATATAAAAGTCGAATGATGATATTTGATTTTATTATCTTAATATGTTTCAAAAATTAATTGATAAAATTTGAATATCTTAAGAAAAATTTTCTAACTTTCAAATAAAATAAATGTTGAGTATTGATCAATATGATTTTGTTATTATTTTCAAAATATTTATATTTAAAATAACATTTTATTTTTATTTTTGTTCAATAATTATGATCAAGTGAATAAAGAATTGCATTTACATTCTCTGAATTAATGCACAAAAATTGAATTACATATAGAAATAAAAAAAAAACAATTTATCTTTTCTAATTTTTTATGAACAGCATGAATAAAAAAAAAATAAAAAAAAAAAGAAAGACAACTTTATTTATTTTCATTTACATCTAATATATGTATTGTTGAATTATCATCATTTTCAATTTCAGTAGTTAAATTTTCTTCGGATTTAAAATTTTCATTGTTATTAAAGAAAGACGAATGTGTCTAAAACAAAAAAAAAACATTTTTGTTTTCATTAATATATTTAGAAAACAAATTCTTATTCAAATTTGTTTTTTTTACTCGATCACTATTTGGTGAAAGAATTTGAACATTAACATTTTTTATAAGATATGGTTGTTCAAGAAGATTAACTGGTTTTTCATGCCATTCACGTAAACTTTTTGGTGTTCTAGTAAATTGTGAATTACCTAATAAGAAAAAGCAAAAAAAAAATAAATTCTCATAAAAGTGAATATTGTTTTGTATTTTTTAAACCTCTTCGTGATTTTTCTTTTACATCTGACATTGATGTACGACGACTTGCTGATGCTATTGATGAATTACTACCTATATTTGATGATTGTTCTGAATGAGTACGAGATAAAGAATAACTTCGAATATGTTCAATATTGCTAAATGTTGGAGATGAAGCTGATGTTGAATTTAAATTAATTGAACGATTTGTAATTGGAATATTTGGACTAACTGGATGACGTTTTGAACCAGAAATTAATGCTGCTCGACCTTAAATAAATAACCAAAAAAGAAAAAAAATTAGAGACAATTTATAAAATTTTATTATGATATTTTATATGCTTATGACATCTTTTATAAAAGGTCTGAAAATAAATTTTGAACAGATTTCAAATCGTCAAAACAAAATATTCGTACGATTTTCTATAGATATATTCTCTTTCGGATGCAGAAAAAAGACTTTGTATTCAATCAGTAATCATGAATTTTCTAGAAAAAAAACTTCCTCAAAAAACTCTGACGTCCCTAAATATGCAATAAAGCAAAAAAAAACATCTATTTTATATATATATATCGAGAATAGATTTTTAGAGAAGACCTTAAAAAGAATTCAATAATATACCTGGATGATTTGGTAATGCTGGTGTTGTAAGTCCTATTTAAAAAAAAGAAATTATTAATATTTTTACACATATTTATGAGAGACAGGTCACATATAACATTATTTATGGTCATATGCAGAATACAAAGAAATTTTTTTTTTCATAGTCACACTTCGATGATAGTTACTTTATATCGGTCTGTCGATCTTAATAGTTCTTATTCTATTAAAATATCATCTGGCTCGTCACACTTATAGTCATGCACAAAGATACTAGATATAAAACGCGTGTGCGTGAATAAATGCATACATTCATATATATATATATATACATCTACGATGCAGATTAATCAATCGATAAGTAATGATGTGAGATCGTGAGACATTAGTTGTCTGTTCTTATTCTATATTTGTAACAAATCAATTTATGATACAATAATTAATATCAATGAAAATTTTTATTTTTATTTTATTAAATTTATTTATTTTAAAAAGTTATTCTTTAAATATATCTTGTTTACCATGTACATCAACATTATATCGTACATGTTATAATTGTTATAATAAATTTTCAATTGAATATATATATGTTGAAAAACTTTCAATAATTTGTAATTTAACAAATAATAATAATAATAATTTACAAGAATATGAACGTTTTTATTCAATTATTAAATCTTTAACAATAAAAAATTGTACAATAAAAACATTCTATTTTGATCAATATACATTATGGAATTATCTTGAATATATGTCAATAACATATGCACATATTACACATTTATCGCCTGTCATTTTTAATCGATCATTATCAATATCACCAATTTTATATAGTATAAAAACATTAAATCTATCACATAATTCAATACGTATAATAGATACGAATTTTTCATATTATTTTCCATCATTAGAAAAACTTGATTTAAGTTATAATCGTCTTATACTTATACGTAAAAAAGCATTTATTAATTTAATACATTTACAAGAACTTTATTTAAATAATAATTATTTAAAACAAATTTTATCAACTATTTTTCCACGTCAATCATTAAATATAATTAATTTAAATTATAATCATTGGCATTGTTCATGTACAAATGTTTTAATACTTTCAATTAGTCGACCAATACCAACATGTCAAACACCAATACAATATAAAAATCAAAATGTTGATAATATTTCTCGACAATGTTTTTTTCGTTCAAAAGCAATTATATTAATTACAACAAATATTTATAAAAAACAAAATTTAACATGTGCATTATCATCAACATTTGATATATGGAAAAATAAAACAAATAAAAATATTACTCTATTATCTGCTTGGCATATTGAACAACGTCGTCCAATTGCAATAGAACATCTTTATGCTTTAAGTGAAAAAATTGAAAAATATTTAATATGTTTTAATTTAAATTCTTCTCAATCTGAATCTATACATACAATAATTCCACTTACATCAAAATTAATTTTATTTAATAATACAAATCAAAATCAAAATTATACAATGAATATACCAACAAATCGAACATTAATTATAATTAAATCTGAAAGAAAACTTCCTGAAATATTTCGTTGGTTATTAAATTTAAGTAAAAATATTTTACCAAAATCATTTCGAACATCAAATAAAAAAATTTTAATTATTTGGTTAATACTTCTTACAATAGTATTATTAATATTATCATTTCTTATCTATATTATTTATCGTCAACATAAAAAAAATAAAGATAATTATAATATTAATACATATTCTCAAAAATTTCTACATTATGATAAAAATAATTCTCCAAATCATCGAACAATATTTAATTTAAAATTTAATTGTAAAAATCATAAATGTTTATGTCAATATCGACGACGTACACATTCAACAATGCATTTAGCACAATCAACAAAATCAAAATCAATTATATTATCAAATATTGAAACAAATAATCATATTCAATCATCATTAATTAAACCAACTGAATTACGTTATGCAAAAATTAAACATATATCATCAATAAAAGATTTAGATAATGATTATTTAACTGGACAATTTCGAACAACAGTTAAATTAAAATCTTTACCTAATTGATATTGAGTATAATTTGTATTTGTAAACATTTTTGATTGATTTATTGTATTTAATGATGTTGTTTGTATTTCGAGTATAGATGCAATTTTTGATAATTTTATTTGACGTGCTCTTTTAAAAATAAAAATAGATAATTATTGTTTTCAAACGATTAATATATATATATATATACCTTTGACGACCTTTAATTAAATTTTGTTTAGCTGTCATACAACGAATATGATCATCAAATGTAAATTTTGCATTTAATATAGGTGGACTTGTTTTAACATAGATATTATTGACTGGTTTATGAATTGTTATATGTAAAGAACGACTATCTTCTTTATCATTTGCTACTTCAACATCCTTAAAATATATAAATTAAATTTTAGAATCTTATTTATATTGATGTAGTTATAAATTTTTATTTATTTTTTTTTCAAATAAAGGAATCATTTTTTTTTTGAATACTAACTTGCATTAGATCACAAAATTTAACAATACCCCAACCAACTTTTTTAATGTCAGGTTCAATAAGAATAAATTGCATTTGATCAATAACAAGAAATCGACGATCTTTTCTAAATAAAAAAAAATATAAATAAACAATAGAATAAAATCATATTATTAACCATTAAAAGTCCAAGAAGAGATTTTCTTGCAATAGAAGAAAGACAAACTATAAAAAATACAGCTGATAGATCCTCAGTACACTCAAACTATAGCTAAAACGAAGTAATTTGTTTTTTCTCTAGAGTTACACAACGTTCTTTAGCAGAAATCTTGAACCTTTTAAAGACCGGAAAGAAAAGAATTTCCATCTGAAATTTCATCTTTAATTAGTTTATATGATCCTTAAATTATCAATCAAAACGAATATTTTGTTATTGAAATATTGAACGCAAAAACAAAATCGGAAACATTTTGAAACAAAAAAAATTATTAAAATCCGACTTCTCTTCAACATGCCATATTTCCAAAAGTAAACAACAGTTGTTATTAAAAATTCCAAGATAATCTAAATAGTATATCAGCTATTTATGAGCAAAATCTCTTTATTTTTCGTTTTTTGTTTTGAGGCGAAATATCCTAGTAGCGTAACCAGGATTTTCCAATATCCTGGATCTCTGTTAGAGAGTATGGATCTCAAATGATGAATTTCTATCGGAAAAAATTTTGAATCAGAGTTTGCCAAAAAAATTAGCATTTTCCTGAACCCTATCAGAAAATGTTTCACATCTTTAATAATATGTCGTTTTCAAGAATGCCATCGAAAGCTACATCAAATTTCATCCGTTCAGAAGTTGTGCAGTTTTCAATTCCTGGTAAAATTTTTTCGAAACGTCTCGAATCTTAAAAACGCCATAACTTCTGAATGGATCAACTTTTTTAAATGAAATTTGATGTAGCTTTCGATGGCATTCTTGAAAACGACATATCATTAAAGATGTGAAACATTTTCTAGTAGGGCTCAGGAAAATGCTAATTTTTTTTCCGATAGAAATTCATCATTTGAGAACCATACTCTCTAGCAGAGATCCAGGATACTGCAAAAATTCTGGTTACGCTACTAAAATATCCCATAGAACATTTTCTTTATGACAGTGTCTTGCATTAGTAGAATGGTTTAAAATATACGTGATGGTTTCATCAGACAATGTTTAACAGTGGCGTAGCCAGGGGTACTGCCATTGGGCAATTGCCCATGGATTTATTGAGCTATGCACTGCTTGAACAGTTATTGCCCATAGATATTTTTGAAATCATAACGGTTGCCCGTAACTCAAAATAGTTCGGCTAATGAATTGCCCATGACTCAAAAATTCCTGGCTACGCCACTGATGTTTAACAATATCACTTAAACAAAAACTAAAGTCGAACATCGTCTATATGAATAAAAACCTTCAGAAAAGAAATGCGAAAAAAATTGCGAGTCATAAAAGATTCATCGTTCAGCTTAGAAATCACTTGAGAATAATATTTTCATCATTGTATGATTACTAAGGTCATGTCAATTCAGAAAAATGTTTGTCTTTTTTTTTTTACATATAAGTTCGTAGTAGTAAAATTTATTGAAATTATTCTAATGTTGTCTTGAAAAGGAACATTAGATTCTTACCTTTCTATCATATGAACAGTACAAGCAATTAAATCACTATTATCTTTAAAAAA